GTAGAGAGAGGATTTCTAGGATGTAGGTTTTTTTTTGCTCTCTTAGGGCTTTGTACTGATAAACGTCTAGGAGATATTTTCGCAAGGAAGGATAAAGCCACTTCAACTCCGTATATCAACAGGGAACATGAGAGCACTGAAGATGAATCTTATATTACTTAAATCTACTTCTAAAGGGCTAAGTACACCTTTCAATGAACTTGAAGTCGCAAGAGAGTCTTACGCTATACCTAGAAGTAGATAAAAGAAGAATTGAGAGAGGAAACAGGAAGTAAGTTGGATAATAAAATATATTTTTACCGCTTGAATGGTAGTACAATTGATAATCCGAGTAGAATTAGTTTTTTTTAATCAAAATATGAATAAATAAAATAAAAGGAAATTGTGAAGTTTCCACTTTTTACTTTCCTATCTATACTGGATAAGGAAAGTATTGCGATCGGATCAAATTTCCGATGTGCGGTTTTCAACGGATCTGTACGTTTCAGAGCCCCCTTAGTCAGTTGTTTTCAGGAAAATAAATCTAATTAAATTTTTCTGTTTCATAATGGACCTATTTAAAGAGAAAAAAACTTTTTTAAAAACTCAAATATGCAGAAAACTCGTGTGAGTGGACCAGATTTTTTTTAATGTATTGCCTACTTGACTGTTTAAAAAAAAAAAAGTTAAAGATCGTTTATAAATTTTTTTCTTACGCCTATTGACTTCAGCATGTGTAATTATAGCACCTCTCCTCAGCCTCTACTGTTCCTAGATACCAGTAATGCGGCTGAGTGCGAGGCGCTGGGATCTTCTAGAGTCATGCCTTTCCTTCCACGGGTGGGGAGAAAGGCTTGGCTCGGAGTTCTTCTGAGTGAATGGATTCTAAATATTGTATAGTATATATGTATTTTAGTTTTAATTTTGATTAGTTTAGTTCTTTGGTTTATATACATTTACTTTTATTATTATTTGCGTATTATTTATTGTAAATAGAGTCTGAATGTGCTATCTGAACACTATTATAAATGTCCTTAATTGTTGTGACAGATTGTAATATTTCTGAATAAATAAATAAAAAAAAATTATTTAAAATTTTTACCATGTCTTCTAAAAATCAGGAATGTATAATAGTTATGAGACCTAGGTAAACTAATCTATCTATTAGTAATAAGGTTAGTCTCCCCACCACTTTTACCTCAGTATCTCCTCCACTTCTCGTGATTGAACCTTTGATTTCCGGAAATCAGTCAGTCACCTCCATCAGTACTTCAATCATAACCTTACACGATCATTCAAAATGCCTCCGAATGAACGTATAGAGTCCGCTTGATATTACATCTGGAAGATCCTCCCCTGACTCTCTTACTTAACTATCGAATTGAACTTGAACACATTTAGTGTTGGTAATATGGTTAATAATATTAAATATTACATTTGTTTAACTTGATGGTGTATATAATTTTATAGTTTGTATAGCTTATTTAGTGTTGCTCAAATGCGAGACCGAGACGAGTCTTGGTCTTGCAAACTCAGTCTTGGTCATGGCCTTGGTCTTGCGCAAGACTCTCGCAACAATCTTGCAGTTACTTATTAATATATTATTATACAGATATTACCGTATTTTTTTTAGATAGGAGAAACCTAACTAAGCCCGAATGAAATATGAAAGGAGTTAAATGCAAAAGTATATTATTCCAATTATATTATATATTATTCCAATTATTAACATATAGTAACTAAGATTGTCAAGTATTAGTAACTATTTTGTCTTAATTTTTATTTAAAAAATCGATTTGTTTTACCAGTCCTGGTCTTGGTCTTGCAACAGTTAGGCTGCCTTGGTCTTGGTCTTGCAAAGTGCAAGACCAAGACCGATTTTGGGCAACACTAAGCTTATTACGTATTCCATTTGTCAATCTCATCATATATTCACATTATTCTACACTAGTTATTATTTTATTATTATAAATCAAAAATGATTATCATTATTTATCTATTATTTGTTATATCATATTATTACTCAGGTGTTATAAATTTTATTTTAGAATTGTGAATTAGGCTTTTTTTTTTATCATTTTTTTATCATTCAAAATACTTTTTATTTTTATTTCCTTTAGCAGATATTTTCCACAATAAAGGCTCCGAAAGCTTTTCACCGGAAGTTTTCCCACATAAAATTAACCATGACATTTAGGAAAATAAATAATTAAAGTTTGAATGGAGTCGAGACAAAACGTTTCTCTGAATCATAAATTTGAGATATTGAGAGAAGAATTGAAGTAAATGAACGTTTCAATAAACAGAAATGAATGGCACCGTTCAACTTTCCCTTTGACCGTGGAAAGCTCATTAATTTCCTCAAAATACTTCCTCTCCAAGTCTCTTCTTAATCGCTGTTGGATCCCACTCTGTTATACAAACTCCATGAAGATAAACATTTATTCAAGCAATTATTGTTATTTTTATTAGTCATATGTTTAAACCGAGGTTTAAACGGGGGTTAAAACAAGGTTTAAGGTGAATGCGGTAAGGACACATTAAGAATGGAAACAGTACACATAGTCGTTCCTTTAACTACACTTAAACGTTCCTATTAAAAAGAAATATTTTAATGAAACAATAAAAAGGGACTCCTTTCAGGAAATTTGATTACAGAGGGTCTTCTATTAAATAATAACAGTAATTAAAACATTACCCTTTATTCATGGCTTGGAAAATAAATAAACCTCCTATGTCCCTGTTGTGGTGTTCCGGAAACTGCTCAGTATATCGTCACGACTTAAATCGGTTTTGAAGCAATAAGGGCGAAGCTACTGAGGGAAACCGGACTCTACATCATCAAGGAGGAAGATTTCCCTCAGCTAGTAAGTAAGCATAACTACGCGTACTACGAAGCATTCTTGTACGAGTGGAAGGAATTAGTGAGGGATGATCACTTCAACCTCCACTAACGAAGACTGAATAACCAGAAGATAAGTGGTAAAAGTATCAACTACTTCTACCAAAAATCTGTATTGCCGAGATTCAAGGAAGGAAAAAAATAAAATAGTATGATAAGAGTGCTATGTTCCTGGCCTCGCGTTTCTACGGCGAGTAAGGGGTTCCAGGAACCGCATTTATTTGTATTTATATCGGTCCCAGAAGGGAACCGATCAACTTAAAATATATTAATGATGTATTTAAATGTTAGATACCACAGACCCCCTACTGTAGTATCCTAGATTGAACCATATACTCTTTATTGGATTTCCTTTCTAAAGGTATTATGTTTATAAATGTACTATTTGTTTCTATTACTAATTGGTGGCATGCAAGGTAGAATGTAAAAGTACTACGTTGGTTTACTAACTATTATATTTACAAGCTTAAATAAAACCAAAAACATCTATATACAAAATAATAACTAAACCTATATACATAATGAATAGTTAAGAATCATACTGGAGGAGAATGCTTGATGTTTGATTAAAGTTACGTGTTATATTGATTATATTAATTAATGATGTATGGTTGCCAACACAAATTTACATTAGTATAACTAAATGCTTGTTACCACTTACTTAGCTGGTCCTTCATAGTGTTTCTTGGTGTTTCTAGCCGTCATATTTGGATTCCCTGTCTCTGCTCTCCTTCAGCGTCTAGTCCGTCCATCTGCTCTCTCCGGCTGTCTTCGTCTTCCTCCCTCGACTCCCCCGCTTGAAGTCCCAAGAGCAAGAGTTCTCAGCTGCGTCCCAAGAAGAAGTTTCTCAGTCCCAATTCTCTATTTCCCACCTTTCTCTATCCCCCTCTCTTTTGGTAGTCTTTTTCCTGATTGGCTGAATATTCTCAGCCTAAGGGATGACCACGCCCTCTCCCCCAGACCAAGGTAAAGCAGCAGGTACAGACTTAGGTATTTCTGGTGGAAGGTGTGAAAAGGTCTTTCGGGATCCTGTTTAAACACTCAGTTGTCGGTCTTTGTCGGTGGTTCTAAAGGGTTTTTATTACCACTTACAAAAGGTTGTCCTAATGGGTTACCCTCCCTCAGGTACCCAACCGCCAGATGTTAGCACTTCTGATATTTATTTGTTTATACCTTTAAACTAATTATTCCACCGACGGTCTTTACAATACATAGCAAGAGTAATTATTAATTACTTAAATTACGTATTTCTTAAGTTATCCCTTATTGTTCGAGAAAAAACGTGACACTTTAAAAAACCCAAAACTTGGTTTCCCTAATTATGTGACACCCTGTATGCTAGTGTTGCCCGAACGTGAGACCGAGACGGGTCTTGGTCTTGTAAACTCAGTCTTTGTCTTGCGCAAGAGTCTCGCAACGGTCTTGCAGTTATCTATTAGCTTATTAATATACAGATATTACTGTAAGTTTTTAGATAGGAGAAACCTAACTAAGCTCGAATGAAAAATTAGAAGAATTAAATGCAAAAGTATATTGTTTGTACCAATTCTCTACATATACTAACTAAAATTGTCAAGTATTAGTAACTATTTTGCCTTACTTTTTATTCAAAAAATAGATTTTTTTAACTATTCTTGGTCTTGATCTTGCTGCAGTTAAGAGGTTTTGATCTTGGTCTTGCAAAGTGCAAGATCAAGACCAATTTTCGGCAACACTACTGTATAAAGTACTTATTTATGACTATTTACTTTAGACAATGCAATTTTTATTAGCTTCTTAGTATTTATTTATTAGTAGATAACTTTTTTTTCATATCGTGTTATATCCTTGCCTATACGTTTGTAATTCGTTTAGTTTGGTTTAGTGTCTTTCCTCAGAACTGGTGAAGGCCTGGAACTTAGACCGAAACTTTTTTTAATGATATTTTTTTTTAAAATTTTTATTTATCCTTGTGACTGCAACAAGCAATTAACTTCCGAATCATATTATGGTCTACAAATTATATCACAAATTACTATTCAAAAAAGTAATACAAAAAATTCGGATATGTTTTCTTATACGGTGGATCGTGTAAGCGGGGTTCTACTGTATATGAATGTTATTGCATGATCTATCTTACATGAGAGAAAATACTTCTTGCATCCTGTGGTGTAGTGGGTCCCTCTCGGTGAAGAATTCTGGAGCCTCTGACCGCAAGCAGAAGAAGTGGTCCATGGTTGCTTTGGTCTTTTCAAGGCTGCCTTCGCATACGGCAAGGAACCTTTTGATGAGATGGTCATCTGCAATAAATATATAAAATAGTATATTATCACTACAGTATATATATATATAACTATATATATATATATATATATATATATATATATATATAATTATAATTCTATTAAATTTGGTCAAAGACCATATGATTGTTTTGCTGCATCAAAATTTGAAATAAAAACGGAAAATATAATTTTGGCTTTAGAGCTAACAGGATCCGCCAGATATCGCTTGACCCACTTAAAGAGATAAACTACTGAAAGCTGATAAGTTGCGGTCAAGGAAAGAGAAAAGACCGTTAAACGTGAAACCTCTGATTTTGAGAACAGGAATTCGAAACATTTATAAGATATACATACATTAATAAGCATAATGAAAAAATAATTATATTTTACGTGGCCGTTGTTATAGAATTGGACACACAAGTGAACTTAAAAGCTGAAAGGACTCCAAAGAACTGTGAGAATAGAAAGTGACCTAAAGAGAAACAAGAAGGACTTAATCTAGAAAGGAACTTCAGCTCAAAGTTATTTCCTTTTATCCTTTAAGGAAAATTCTTCACATAATTTTAAAAAGCGTTTGTCAAATCTGTCAAATGTAACAAGTGAGGACTAATAAGTTCTCCGAAAAAACTCTCTTCATCTCTAAAAAAAATCTTTAACTCCACAAGATAAAGTAATAATTTTAACGAAAATCATGATGAAGTAGTTACAGTCGATTCTCCTCCCTTTTATGAAAATTCTCGTTTGGGACGTTTACAATCTTCATATTGGTAAACATTATCCATTTAATAAAATACGAAAATCTCATGAAAATTTTATATTTATTATTATTATTTTTTTTTTCATAGGCTCTTTTTCATTTATCTTTGTCTTGAATCCTTGGATTTTCGTTGTCTTCTTTATAATCCTTTTACTGCTAAAAAGCATTGTAAGGTGTATTTTGCCTTTTTTTTGTCGTTTCTGAGTATTTTTTTCTACATCTGTAATATAATCGGTGATGGGGCTCACCTCAGGCTTGAGTTGACCTTATCCTCTAGAGCTTACAACTAAATTAAAACACCTATCTTATGCGAGTTGTTGCCAACGTTTTGGAATTGTGGGCTGGTAATAAGTTGTTGAAAAGAGGGTTTGCCAATAGTTGAGACTTGAGAGAAAAATGATTTTTTTCGTTTTGTGAGAAATACTTTTACTGTGGATAAATTTAGCGCTGCTTATATATATCCAATCATTCTATGCATCGTGGTTCATATTAATATTTTCCTAATTGTTCCATTTTGGAAATATTGTAACCTTTTCCCAAATCCAAAATCCACAAGCCCGTAAAAATGTGTCCTCAAAAATTTTGATGGTTCAATGGTTCAACTTGCGCTATGTAACCCATTTCTAGGCACCCTTGAACAATACAATACACCAATGTCTATATCTTCCCTTTTGGCAAGCGAAACTGTTACAAATTTCAGCATTTTATTTAATTTAGAAAATAATATTTTATTAAATTTAAATATCTCATTCAAGTTAAGAGGAGAACATTTTTTTTTTTTCTTACCCCCCAGGAATTTATTTACTATGCAAAATACAATATGAAGCTGGGCAAGTTGAATATATATTATTGTTACAAATTGGCAATAAGGCGTGTTGTATAATAAATATTTTTTAAGAAATCAAAAATTTCCCGGACTGTGGTTTCGTTCATTTCATTTTATTTTGAAACAAATAATACAATCTGAAATACAAAATACATTTAAATTAAATGTATACAATTTGAGCAACGAGTTATAAAATTAAATGAACAGTTGTATAAACGGAGAGCATTTATTTGTTTTCCACTTAAATCTTAAAATAATTTAATCAATGAATCGAGAATAAAAGGTGACCTTCAAGAATATTGGTCCATTTAGCGTTACCTCCATTTCCAAAGTGTCAAAAAAAAAAAAACGAGGCTATATAGGCCAGATGCCCTGATATTTTTGTAGGCCACATTTCGTATCGATTGTGTGATAAAATTATCTTATGAAGCAAATGGGTATTCATGAATTTATAGTACTTCATGAAATTAATTAATTTAATTAGAAACCTCCCCATTTATAAGAATTTCCGTTAATAAAAACTATTCTGTGTCAAGCCTATGTTTCGAATTTCGACTATTTTATATCTAATTATGTCATAGATATTGTAATTTTCTTGAATTCATTTATGTTAAAATTCAATATCGCCCTCTTCTCCCAACTAGGTCACCTATTTTCCCCATTTCTTCCCAGTTTCAACCGAAACTTCCTTTATCTTTCAATCTTTCCTTGTATTATTATATTATACAACATCCTTATTACATTCATTTTTTCCCTATCTACAATAATATACAATAATTGTTGTCATTTATTTACTTCAGTTTAAGGTCTTGTTACTTAGTTATACTCATTTACTCTGTTTATAAGTATACCGTATACCGTATTGTATACAATATTAATAAGTATACATATTATTCATAATAATGTATTTACATATAGCTCATCATTTAAATACTTACTATCAGATTCGACTTTCTTTTTTTTTTCAACAGAAACACATAGTTTACTGCTAAGATGAATGTAATGTATTGTTTATCTTTTCTTAAAGTGTATTTCTTAAAGTGTATTGTTTATTTATATTTTACCATTGTACATAATTTTAAGTGTCTTGGAAAGGTTTCAAGAGTTTTCTATATAGATTTTTTTATTTTATTTTTTATATGGTATGTATAACTATTTCTTTATTTATTTATCTTTATTTTTACTTTTTATGTTTGTTTTTATTTGGCCAGATATAATATTTTAATTTTGTACTTTTTGTTATTCTAAAGGGACTTCGTCCCAGGATAAAATTATTTTCTATTCTATTTATATAGTTTATTGTTATTAATATATCTATTTACATTCTATTCACTCAGTTTATAATTTTTATTTTAATATTATGTACGCTGGCTTTAGTACCAGTGACGTGGTTGAGAGAGAAGCACAGGGTTCTCCTGGAGTTCCCTCGCCTGATTGTAAATATGTATGCATGTGTTTTTTTTTTTTTGCTTAGTTTTAATTTTCTTATTTTTTAGGTTATTTTATTTTATTATCTATTGTATATACTTTTGATTATTATTTTGTTTCTATTTATTTTATTTTTTTGTCCATATAGTGTGAATGTCATCCTACCTCACTATAACCAATGCCCAAGATACAGATTGTTGTAATATTCAATAAAGAAAAAAAAATATATATTATGTAACTGCAACATTTTTATGTATATTTTTTTTATCTTTTTCGTTTTAGCCCAGAAGAAGATATGCAAAGTCGGATCGAAACGTTGGTCTAAAATAAAATAGTTTTTTCACTATTTTAATATTTTTATGACCGCCACCCCGAACCATCTAATTACTCAATAATATACCGAGGCAACCATCAAGTATACAATTAATAAAGTTTTACTTTACTATAAGATGAAGCCGTCCACGAACTTTTAGACGGATCTTAAAATTTTTATAAAAATGGGTTTTGTCCCACGGGCTATAACAACTATTTATTGGCATCCGTTTGAAGGTACATACAATAACCTCGAAGAGAACTATTTTCTATTAGTTTATTGTATGAGGCTCCTCGGATAGAATGCGAAGAAGGCATAATGATGTTTGCACCTGCTGTGTACGGAATGGCTGCAGTTATGGACAACTGTTGGAAGAAATTCTCAATTTATCGGACCCAACAACACGTCCAGGGCAGCTATTCCACTCACGAAGTCAACTATTTGTCCAGAGGACAAATCACCGACGGAGGATCAACATTTTTCTTGTTGGCCATCTTCTTTTATTCCCCTTTTCTAGCTGAGAAAAAAAGGGAATTATTCTCCTCGACCATTCTCTTCGACTAAAGTCATTTTATTCCACGTTTTATTATTAGCTAATTGAAAAAAAATATAATATAGTGGAGTTTGTTTAATTCTTTTTTGGTTTATTTTTTTCAATAATGACCCATTGTGATCGACCAAAAAATTAAAAAACTTAACTCCCTCTCAAAATTTGAGGTTTCACGTTTCAGGATACGTAGAATTCGAAAAACGAATACAATTTTTTTTGTTTATTTATATTTAATTTATTTATCAACCCTGCCGTGCCTAGTAGGCAATATGAGTGTCTGCAATAGTGTGATGTTAGGCAGGTCAGCTTAACATCTCACTACTGCAAATGAATCTTGTTCTTCTGCTCTTTCTTCATTTTTTTTCCTCTTTCTTCATGGTTGCTTTCCTCATCCGTTTCACGCCGATGGTATAGTACCTCTTCCTCCTCTTATTAAATTAAAATGGGCTGGCCCCACCGCGACTTTCCATCCGTACACAAAATCTTTGTAGTACGGGTAGTTTTCCGCAGTGACTAACTGAGGAAAATCGTTCTCTGTGAGAATGTAGAGACCGGTTTTCCTCAGTAACTTAGCCCTTACTTCTTCAAAGGCGGTGCAGTCCACTATGATGTGCTCAGCAGTCTCCGGAACACCGCAGCTAGGGCATAGGGGGTTGATGTCCATCCCATGGCAATGAAGCTTTGCTCGAAAGCCCCCATGGCCTGTAAGAAATTGCGAGATACAATAGTCTGGGACGATCCACCTCGCTTCTAAACGTGACCCAACGGTGGGGAAGTACTTCCTCAAGGTAGATCCTTTTTTTTTGTCCGTCCGCGCATTATCTCCTAAACTACTAAAACTATTTTTTATTTTCAAATTTGGATATAAAATCAGAGGTCATCCGAGGATAATCCTCCTTCATCGACATTACTTTTATTTTTATTTTTTTATATTTTATATTTTATATGCCTTTTATTTTCAAAATGGCGGCCGAAAAACCTGCGTTGCTATAGCCTGTAGCGCCTAAACGAATGTACCGATTTCAATGAAACTTCGCTTAAGTAATTTTCTCGACGCTCTTTAATTTAATTGATATAATATACTTCAACGCAAAGAAGCTGTTAAAAAAGTTATGATGGATGGTGAAATTAAATTTCGAAT